AGTATTAATATATAATTATACACTTGTAATTGCCATCAATGAAACATCAATATGTACAATTGCCTACAAATAGTTTCAGCAAGTAGAAAATACAAAATGAATGTGAATATTAAGGGCGACTCCAGATGTACAGCTCAGTTATGTTTTTGCTGAAACCTTTCGTACAAAAGTTCTCTTGGAATGAAATTTTGGCAATACTGGAATGGTTAACCCAAACATGGATTTACATTACAGTATATATAGGTTTTACCCTCTTGTCCTTCCTCTGAACAAGCAGGAATAACCATCCCATGCTTAATACAGGTACAGTCAACAAAAAAATATCTTCAATTGTTCAGTGTCATACATTATAACACAAGTGATAAAGAATACTGATATGGCAATGACCATAAATGGATTTGGCAGTTACAGTACAGTACTCTATTCCTGCCATTTGCTATAATGATGAATTTCCCATTGTGTGTTGTACCAAAATGTGAATAAAAGAAACAAGATCAATACAAATTGAATATACAACTGAAAGCATATCTAAGGAACATTGTCAAGTTGTCACTGTTATAAACACACTTCATGCATGCTTATCTTCATAGCAGCATACATTAGTAGCAGTATTCTCATTCTTACTGTCAATTATGTGATAAATTTGAAAATATATTATACTATAATATTGGTGAATTATGAAAGCAATAAATAGGTATAGAGAGTTAAGGGAGATTACAGTCACATGACATTACAATACAGGTATCCCCAGGTTATGGAATTTCACCCTTACGGAATTTACAAATTTCGACCTTAATTTCAGGTCACAGAAAACAAATTTGCCCTTATGGAATTTTAAAACTTCTCAAAAATTTTAAAAAATTGCAATTTTTAATCAAAATTTTACCAAATTGGCAAAAAAAATATTGTGAATGCACCTGTGGTGGCCACAAGGTGGTTGGAAAGCTTCTCACCTCCCAGTTACCAGCATTCACAACACTGGAGCTGCTCAGTTAAGAATTCTTTCCCCCAGCTTGTGTTCAGTTATGTGTGTGTGTGTAAGACTTTATTTGCCCTTATGGAATTTTGTTTAATTTATTAAGAATTTCAAAGAAAAAATTGCAATACAAGTATAGAACAATAAATTTCACCAAAATTATAACATTTAATTCTTGTGAATTCTGGCTTGGCTCTCTTACCTCCAACTGGTAGCAGTCACAACAACAATGGCGCTGCTTAGTTTTGAATTCTTTCCCCAGTTTGTGTTGAGTTATGCATCTGTGTTACTGTGTACCCTTATTCAGTGAGTGGAAAAAGACCATCAAGTTCAAATGAAAGCAGTGGTGATAAAAGGTTCCATAATGGAATTACATTGGACATAAAACTTGATGTTTTAAGGAGGTTACTCCCAGTAACTCTGATCCCACAACCTCCTGCAGCGCTCAACATCGTTTCTGGTAAGTAAAATTCAAGCGTTTTCTTCATTTATCATCATGTTACATCCTTGAATGACTTATTGTATGTGGTTAAACCATCTGATTTCATACATATACGTATGTGCTTGTGTCACGTGTTTGGGGCCTCAAGAGTTTTCCAGAGGAATGCATTTCAACTTTTATAATTGAAGTCGATGGGAAAAATGGTTTCACATTACGGAAAGATTTTCCGGAACCTAACCCTTCCGTAAACCGGGGATGACTGTGAAGGGTAATGATGGAACCACACGTTGTATGTGAAGTCTCCATTTTAAATGGCATGCCTATGAAAATAATTAATGGCATTGCATCTTACAGCCGCAGTTTTAATCACCCTCTTTAATTGACGGGGTTGTCGTGACAACAACCGTAGTTTCAAAAGTGTGAGTGAAGTGATCTGTCTTTATCCATATGTATTCGTGCATAGTGGCATAAAAGCATTCTGTTGAATCTTAGGCTCCCTGTACTACACCGAAGAAACCATGGAAGGCTGTTACTCTTGAGACAAAAGATTGGACTTGAAAAGATCTTGGTCTGGCTGCTTCTACTGTGGCCACAATTTACAAGCATACTGAGGAGATCAAACAAGCAGTTGGACAGTAGTGATGAGGTGGACAACCCTCCTCATCTTGCTGAGTAAGGCCCTAACTCAGCCCTTATGGTGGTGAGCCCAGACTGCCCTTCCATATTATTTTTTTTTCATGTGTTAGGTAGTAAATTAGAGTACAGGCGTAGTTGTGTTCTATTTATCATTAAGTAGATAAGTTTTGTTTTTGTTTGTGTTAAGGTTTTTGTGCTTTTAGAGTATGATACTGGGGTATTTTTGTAATTGGGAACCGTACCCTAATTTCCCCATGTGTTTATCTATTCGTGATAAGAATATTCGTCAAAAAAAAAAATTATTTTATTTTTTACAAAAACCATTCATATCTCGAGGAATACCTGTACTACTGTATATAGTTCATCATGTATATAGACTGCTGTATCATTTGAATCTCTACCTGACACTAAAAGAGAACTGTGAATACAAGAGTTAAGCCACATTGAAATATTTTTTAGCCATTTTGTGAGTGAGTTTTCGTCTGAAAAATATTCTGTAAGCTGGTGAGTTTCTGGACTAGAATTCTTAAAATGGATAGAACCAAAATCCACCGGGAGAACATTGTCACCAAACTTAATGCAACATTTATTAATAAAGTAAACACATTTAAGATACTGTAATTTATTAAACTTTTTAGCAGTTTTGTAAGCAGGCAAGTATGGCACCAAAATTTGTAAATAAATGCACCTCTGGCATACCAACCACACGATTAAGTTGATCCATAATGCATCAGCAAAGGGGGGCAGGCATATAAACATTACCTTCGGCGGTCCCACACGGAGGGGAAGAGGTTTGGGCGATTACAATTGTTTGCTTGAAGGAACAACTCCTACCTACGAGTTTTCAAGGAAGTAGGGTATTTAAAACACATTACAGCGGTGATCAATAAGTTCGAAACTACAGTAATCCATATTTACCTCAGTTCCTCTCATACTACGTTATATTCCTATATGGAAATAGTTTCTGTTATGAGTAAAACAGTAAACTGTAGTGAGTTCTGTTGTCCTTGTTTTTCAATGGGTTATTATATTGAAAAATATTTGAACTTGCAAAGTTGTGTTATATGACGCAAAAACACATTTTATGCAATAAATAATTTGTGTTTGTGTGCAGATGCACACACACACTCACATATATAAATTACATATGTATATGTAGGTGCACACATTCATATATATATATATATATACACACCACAGGTTGCCGTGGTAGTCCGTGCCACTTGGACGTAGTATGTCTCATTTCATCACACATACACACAAACATTTCAAACTTGAATGTGCTCTCTCTTACACAAACTACTAATATCGTCCACTTCCTCATTACCAGACAACCACAATTGCTCCTCAATTTCTTAGGTACTCAAACTGGTGGGGTTGCTTAGACACACGTCTAATCTCGGCCATGACTGAGTACTGTAGATGCTGGCAGGCCTAATATAATTTATGAGTCAAGGTCGCCTTCCTACATTCCAGCTGATCAATTGGAATGAGTCTAATTGTCAGTAAGATTCAATGTATGGGTGGGCAAATTATTACCACACATGGCACACCAATCACATCGAAAGGGTTAAGAAATGCATATCACAATCATGTGAACTAACCCCACCGAAACAACACAAGTCATAGTGTTCTTTTCTCAACCCATTGTACCCAGGAATGAAGAGAGTTTTTTGTTGACTGTAAAGTACAAACAGCACAATAATGATATCTATTACAAAAATACCTGAAATAAGATATTCTTCATTATTGTCTTCTGGAATCATATGATCCTTAGAAAGAAATCAAATACCCTGTACACACCTGGCATGATTCATTACACACACACCTGCTCTTATTATCACTATAAATGTGAGGTACCGTGTGATTGTGAACATTATAAATTGAACAACTAGGTGGTGGAAGAAGGAAGGTGTGAGGTGTAGGTAAGAAGACAAGCAGAGGGATGGCAAATGTTATGGAGGGTGTAAAGACCGATAAGAAATTGAAGGGGGAGGTATTGTGAAGTTTTCTGACTGAAGCCTACCTCAATGGAACAGTCGAAGCATTGATGAAGCAACAGCACTAGGGGTTGCTAGGTAAGGAGAGCTGGAGTGAGGAGGCAAAATAAAAGAAGACTGAATGAGCTACAAGGAGAGGTTGGAGCAGAGAGGATTTAGATTTGAGAGATAGTGGAGGAAACATGGAGGTGGGCAGGACATGTGCAGTGCTTGGGAGGGAAGTTAGTGAAGAGAGCGAAAGAGACATACATTGAGAGGAGAGAGTTATGAGACCCTTGAGAAAGGCAGGTCATGATGGAAACTGGAGGCAATGAAGAGGGAGATAAAAGAACTTCACCTCTAAAAAGAGACAAAGAGGAAGATGATGTGGCAACATCTCATTCATAGACACACATCTCTTGTGGTTCATCAAAATATACTATGAAATCACATATACACCCAATCACATACAGTAGTAACCCGATTTACGCGGTCAATTGAACCCACAGGGTACCGCGTAAAGTGAACAACAGAACAAATGGGATTAATTCCAATAGAGACTGGCCCAACCCCCAAACTCCACTTTTACAGACACAATACCTACGTTGTAGTAAAAATTACATCTTACTTTTATGATGGTATGCACACACAATTAATAATTAAGAGAAATATCAATAATATTAGTTTTTTTAACACTTACATTAGTAGAAAAGATGGCTGGGCACACAGGGATGGGGGGTTGGTTCCGAGGCAGAGGGCAGATTATTGGCCCTCACCTGTATCACTTGTCTCACTATCCACCACATAGGCTTGCAGGGCCTTTTTGTAAAACCCCTCAAAGTCCATATCCTCACTATCACTGACTTGGGCCGGCTGTGGTGGGTAGCGAGTGAAGAACTCGGTAATGTTTTGATGACTGGGCGACCTTGTGCACATCCTGCCCGCGCCGCTTCCCGCGTATATGAGTAGATGCACCGCGTTAAGTGAAAGTCCGGTTCTGGCGAGGTACCGTGTAAATGCGAAATCGCGGAAAGTGAAACCGCGTAAAGCGGGGTATTACTGTACTGTACTGAGGGAATATCATTATAAAATTATATTACTTCAATAATTTTGCTTACCTATTTCTCAATATTATTTCCACAAACCTGGGGAGATTATTCCTTACAATACATTCAAAATTCTGGTGCATATACATGTTGAAACAATTCTTTGTCTGTTGCTCAAATCACAACAGAAAACATAAAATTTACCCTCCAGATTTCTCAACAGTGGTATTGTATGTCTTCAAAACTCTTACACTCTTTGGTTTATAGATTCTTGTTATTTATTACAAGGCATTATACTATATACTGTTAAGTAAAACTTTTGTAGAAAAAAATATAAATTTATTAATATATAAAAAGAACCCTTACACCTAGCAGCTTTACCTCCAATATAAGGTGAAAGAAAATTACTAAATTTAACCAATTGTCTATACACACATTCACACAAACTGATATACCTGAATTGACACAAATGCTGAAAGTTGGTACAAATAGCTCATAAACTAGCCAAAGGCCACTGTATTTTAGTGACCAGCACTAAAATACCATAAAGAACACTCCACAACTCTGACCAGCACCCACAATCACACACCACAGCATGCTGCTACCTGGGCCCATAACTTGAAAAGTGCAGCAAGCTGTTCCCTGAATACAGCATGCTACTATCTGGGTGCATTAGATGTGATACTGCATAGTGCAGTGTGGACCCAGGAACACAGCACACTACTTTTACACAATAAACTTCAAATATAATCACTCTGCATCTACAAACCTACAATGTACAGATTACCTATAGTACTATACTGTACCTGATTTGGCCACAAGAACACACTCTTAGCTGTATTCAGCCTGAGCAGCAAACAAGTATTATTGAACAAAAGTCAGTAGAATCTCTTAACATCATACAGTAGTTTGGATCCAGGAAATGACCTTGACTGTTAATGATCATAATCTTTACATAAAAAATTATCACAACTACAGTAATCATGCACACATTAACTTAATGATGAGTAAGGAAATGGATCTGTTCATTGAAGTTTTAACCAACAGACTGCACATCCATAATCATTCCTTACAATGGGTGGACATGTTCTCTATCCATAACAAAAGATGAAGGCTGTTATCAACCAGCTCTCCCCACACACTACATGACTAGTACAGTACCAGCAATATGACGACAGGTTAGGTGAGCTTATGAATTTTAAGATGATAAAACTCTTATTGATAATTAGTTTTTAGTACTTTAAAACTCTCCACAGTTAGAGACAATAATTCTGATGTAAAAATAATTACTGAAGAAAAGGAGAACTGAGAACAAACTTTTATAATGTTCTTCACTTTTGGGGATTAAATCACAGTATTTTGAGAAGTTCATTTGATGCTATTCATTCTTTAAACACATTTATATACCTCATTAATGAAGAAATAAAAGTTCTCTTCTTTCCTAATGTAGATGAATGAAACACAATATCCTTATCACCCACTGATAATTCTCATGTCTACTATCAAACACAACCAGTACTAAAATACGTGTTATCAAAGCCAGACAAGGAGAGTTTGCAAGTCCACAACCTATTAGACACAAAGCTCGGCCTCCTGCATTACTCTTCAAAACAAATCATATTACCATAAAGAGATTCTACAATACTTATAACTGACTGGTTTATTTGTGAAAGATTAAATCCATCTGTTAAAAAGTGGTACGTTGAAAACACTTATATTATTATGCACCTTATACACACCGAGTACAGACTGAATCTTCACCATCAGCCTCGCCCTCAAGTACGTCATCACAGCCTGGTCTGGTCTCACATCACACCTGCGAGGCTCCCTTGAGCTGTTAGGTTTGTAAATTTCAGGTCATCCTGCACATATTAGTGCTTGGTGTCTATCTCACAGACACTGTAAGGAAAGAAAACAGAAAATAACACCATTATAGTACAGTATATACAACAAAAGGTATATAAATGATGATGATCCAAAATATATCACAGTAGATTACTGATTTGTTTAGATGCCTTTTAATGGCCAAAAACATTTTAGTCCAGGGCTGGTCAATTTAAACCAAACAAAAAACCATTATGTCATGTTAGGTGCCGTACTTTACAATCTAAATATTTACTCCAGTGCCTCAGCTTCTACAGTATTCTATCTTCCTCTGTAAGAATAACCAAAATATTTAAAAACTTTTTATTCTTTCTAATTTGTATTCATTTAACTCCAAATTATATTCCAGCACCACTCATATAATGGGCTACAACACATAAGACAAAAGAATAGAGATGTGACTGGAAAATTTAACAATAGTACTGTATCATTCTACCTAACCTGGCAGTAGCTGTTAACTGGAGTCACTGGGTGCCGTCACAGGTCACACGTCATGGTCTGTGACATGTGCAGTGGTGTTAACATGAGCTCAAATGCAGCGTCCTTCAAATTTGCTCCTCGTAAATTTGCCTCTTGTAGATCACTCCCAGACAAGTCACAGTTCTAAACAGTAAGGGATACAGTATACAGCACTGTATATGAAATAAATGTGAAGAAAAATTAGAATATTTCTCATCCTTAATTCTCAAAAGTAAATACAATACTTGTAAGAGATTTATCTAACAAAATGAAAGGACTACTCTCACCCCTGTTCACCCGTTTGTGGTGGTGAGTCAAGACTGCCCTCCCATAAGGTAATGTATCAAAGTTATACAGTATTTTATTAATGTTTACCGTGTGTTAGGTAGTAAATTACAGTAGTTGTGTACTATTTATCATTAGTAAGGTAGGTTTTTTTGTTGATTTTGAACTGATTTCATGTTTTTAGGGTATGATATAGTCTCTATTTTTTTCATTGTGGTACTGAATCCTATTTTTCACATATGTTATTCTATTCTTTATACTCTGTACTTAAATTCGCCTAATGAATATTTTTTTCAGGAACCTAACCCATTTGTATATCAAGGAATATCTGTACTGTATAGAAAAATGACTTCCATGAGTATATTCTAGTACTGTACTGTACATCAGTCATAAATGCAAGCTTTGAATTCCAGTTTGATCAAAACATAACCAGTTGGTACACACAGTACAATCTATCTGAAGAAAAGTAGGTAATTTAAAAACTCTGTTCTCTTTTCACTCACCTCCAGGTCTGCCCCAGCAAGGACAGCTGCACGCAAGTCACAGTTCTTCAAGTTTGCATTCTTCAGTGTGGCAACTCTCAAGTTAACACCGGCCAGCATGCTACCCTCCAGTACTGCCCCACGTAGGTTCACACCTTCGAAATCGTCCAAATTTATAATAAATTTTCTTTCTTAATTATACTACAGTATTTAGTCCGGCATATTATACATTACAGTAATGGTTAATGCCTAAAAAGTTAATTACTCTCTTGTCAATAATACAATAAGCAGATTACATTTTAAGAGAGATGTTTATTCACCAAAGCTCCAACAGAGAGACAACCATAACCTCATATCTCATCAAAACAAGAATACTGTTTTAAAAGTTTGAATTACCTAACCTTATCTATAAGACAGGAACATGAAGACAAAACTGAACTTCACAAACTAACTTGCCTTCACAATTGGACCGCGTTCCTGCCGGGTCCTCAAAGTTACACGCTCGTAAATTTGATGACTCGAGGTTTGCACACAAGAGTCGCACATTGAGCAGCTGTGCCCCTTCTAAGTTGGCACCACAGAGGTTAGCACGTTCCAAACAGCATCCATTCATGTTGGCTCCCGCTAGGTTACATCCTGACAAATCTGCAAACTGAACACAAGATAGAAGAACAAATACTTTTTCAACCCACAATTTTAAATTCATATGAAAGATACAGTAATGTAGTTTGTGTGAAGTTATACAGAGAACAATGACACAGTGAGAGAGGCATGATAACTGACACTGTTCCTACCACCTGGACAGTGACACAGATGATGAATGGGTAGCAGAAGACTATGCAGTATCACATTTTTCAAACATGTGTCCATACTAATTGCTCAGTCAATGATGAAACACTCAAATTTATTCAGAATAATGGTACAATTTTACTTATGAAACATGATGAGGGATCACTGAACAACATCCTCATATGGAAAAGTTTCACCAGGTTTCTCTAAGACATACCTTAAAGTTAATATTTCTAAGGTCAAGTTTGGAGAGGTCAGCTCCTCGTAGATTGATCCCTTGAAATCTAAGTTCGTCTCGGTGGTGCGTGGTGATGAGCGCCTCTACAACGTGTCGTCTGGTGAGAGGCTCCAGCTCCTGTGTCTCCTCCCGGGAAGTGATCAGAGCCTCCAACACTGGCACGGCCGACTCCATTCCAAAAAACCGGGCCTCCTCTAACACTCCTATAAAGATGATGACAGCCCTCAATAACTAACTAGATATTTGGTTAACCACAGAATATTTAATGTTCTCATAAGAAGTGATATTTGGGAAACAAAGGCACTGTACTGTATTATAGTAGATACACACACACACACAGGGTCTAATAAAAGATACTGTAATTGTTACCATGACATCGAGATAAACTGTGATATCAATGATTTTAATGAGGATACACTGTGTGAACATACTAGCAACATATTTTTTATTTAAACTAAAGCCTTATCATTACTGTATTTGCATTGAGGTGATGTTGACATATTTGTACTCTCATGTAGTGGCTACAGCATGGCAGTTGTGGAGAATTCATATTACACAAAAATATATAAACAACTGCTCTACAAAGACAGAAAATTTTTGCCACTTTTGTAATTTTTTCCTAAGTACTGTACTATACAGGTATTTGTAATAATGAAAATATGCTAAAATAATGCAATTTTTTTCACAACCAGTATGATTACTTATTTCACTAACTTATTCATTACTTTCTAACACTCACAAAGTTACAAAGTGTACAAATATGCTGTCAATGTGTTATGAGTCTCCTTCAATCACCATATAACTAATTCCTCAAACTCAATGAGGCCAAGTAGACTTGTCTTCACCAGCACAGTCACTCAGCCAGTTGCCTCATAGTACAATTTCTCTCATTTACTCTCATGTTTTGTGAAAAATTAAATTAAATGAAATTATTCTGTACAATATTCTTAAATCTCATATGCTAACTATGTACAAAAAAAGGTGTAGAGTTGTAAGTGGATGTGTGGAGTTTAAAGTGAATAAAAGTTTGAAAGTGTTGATGCTGCCAGCAACATAGAGAGTGTGAGTGTAGATATTGTGTTGGCATTTCATACTGTTCACTCTCTAAAATCTCATCCAGTTTATATGTACAGGAATAAAATTACATCTGTACTGTAGTGTACAGCATGTACCACTTACAGTAGTATTACATTTATTAAGGTCTCGTAATCATTGTGTGCACCATAATTGTTTTGGGGGAAGTATTTCTTTTCACAGGAACGTATCTCAGCTTTTATAATGGGAGTTTACGGGAAAATTTTATCAATTTATGAAAAACCTATTTAGGAAAATTGTTTAGGAACGGAACCCTTTTGTAAATGGTGGAATCCCTGTACAGTACAGTACAGCACAGCACAGTATTATTAATACTCAAGATAAGAATAATTCAATGTTCTGGGTATTAAAGATACCTCACCTTCTGGATTAATACCAGGGTCAAGAATCAAGGTCCCATTTCTCAGGAAGTTCAGGAGAGGCTCAAAATATGTATAGGAACGATCGATGAGGTATGCACCGTGGGCGTCCCGATTACTGGGCAACAAACTACTGTCCTCGCAGTTAAACATTCTGAAATATACATCCACCTTAAGATATTTATAGTAAAGATTAACATACTGATGAATGCAATAAAACAAGTGGGCTATTGTCATCTTACTCTCTTTATTAATACAGTACTGTATGTATATCAGTTAAAGAAAGAAAAAAAAAGACAACCGTGCATTAAAAATTTAACCCTCATTGATATACTATACAATATCATAATCAAAATCATAACTTTCTTCCAATATATAATTACAGAACAAATACAGATTTAATTACAACAAAATACTTCAACAATATTCCAAAGTGGTGACAGTATCATAAAGAAAATAACATAACCTAAGATATAAATACCCATATAGTGTAACTATTAACTACTTTACCCAATTATATACATATAGACCTAATCTACCTCATATCTGACACTAGACACGGGCAGAGGACGAACCAAGAGTCACTTACTTGGCTAACATTGAGTTGGGTTCCTTGGTGACCAGTGTGGCCCGGGTGGTGGTGAAGATCTGTCCTCCCACGTTGAGTGTAACCCAGTCATTTGTGGCCGATGATCCACCTGTAACAGTACACAGTGGGAGTCGTGAGGTGTAGTCTCTTAATGTTTAAATTGTGTAATCTATATATGTTTACTGAGAGTATCTGTTATAGTTTGGGGATTATAAAGGCAACAAACTACCCAATCTTTATTTCCAACCATCATATGCATCCTGATCTCCTTCTGGACACACTTGCCATATTATAAAAAATCTACCACACAACTCCCAAAATTTACAACATTTATATATATATATGCCTAATGACCCTATATATACACACACATACTTTGATCTATCACAAAACCCAATATTCACACCAGATATCTGCGTACTGATACTAACTACAAGCAGATGATGGTCCAACTACAGACACTGGAGTCACCCTGGACCCAACGTGACCTGGCGGCCGCACACCTGGGCTGGGCTGGATTGGCAGATGGAAATCTTCACCTTCAGACACGTACAAGATGTCATCATCTCTGTGAGTTTAACATTTTAATTTTAGTGTACAAACCAAGTCATTTCAAATGCCCTCACCTAATCACAATAATGTTACATACTTAAAAAATACAGTATCCAAAGAATTTAGTACTTAACATCTACAGTATCAAATTGTCACTTAAATACAGTACAATATTATAAAATAGTGTCCAATGCTACCCATCCTATCAAAAAACATTAAATTTTACTGTATTATTTAGATGAATGTTTACAGTAGCTCTTCATTCTATCTTCCTTTATATACCAAACTGTACTGTAAAATACTACTTCTGCTTCTAAGAGAGTTTCTGATTCTTTTCCCACAATCTTTTAATTATTTCATGACCTCACTTTGTGTATCTTAAACTGTGTCAAGTCTTTAAATATTTCTCACTCAATCCTGAGTCTTTTAAAGGTACAGTATTAACTTGAGAAAGACAAGGCCTTATCTATACATAACATAGCATCCAATGGTGAGGGAGTCTACATATATCATGAATGGTTTTTGTATGAAGGAACATAAAATCACCAAAGAACAAAATCTGTATACAGTAGATGTAAAACAATACTCTAAACATCGCAAAATTAAAATAACAAATCACAATAAACCACTACCACCGAGCAGCTCACATTGTACCAGTATAACATGAAACACACTGCTTCCTTACCTGATGAGTCTAATATCATCTATGAGTCCTCCCTGGGGTGTGTAGATGTTCATGGCTCTGATGCCCAACTTCTGTGATGCTGCAGCAAGTAGTTCCTCCAAGGAGTGTGTTACCAGCACCACCTAGCAATATACACCACACCATTATTATAAACCCTGTGTTAGTCTTAAAAAAACCCTACCTAACCAAAAACCGGACAAATATCCACAGCCTTATATGTATACCTGCACTGTCTATATACTAATGCACATGCTGAAGCACTGTGCGAAGTCATCAAAATTTTAAGAATACATTATTAATTAAATTACGTAAATTCAGAAAGAAAGTAATTTAGTATTTTTGAGTAATTTTCCTCACTCACGACACCTACATTAAACTAACATATAAACCTCTAGTGAAGTATTATCCTCCTACACAGTATATCCTGCCCAAATAAATTGTATCTGACCAAATTAATTATTATCAGCTCAATTTAATTATTGGTTTGATTGTCTTCCTCACTAACTGACCAAGAGAGCCAAGTTGACGCCCACTGTCCTTACCTTACCATCCACCCCAGAGCCGTTCCTGAAGAGAATTACTCTCTTCATGGTACCAATTGTCTGTACACATCAACACAACCGCATATTAACCAAAGTACTCGCTAAAACACTACATTGATTAGGGTAAGAGGTGAGTAAAGACAACTTCTAACGACCCCGAATCGGCAGTGACTATTTCCCGAGCGATAGGTGGAGGAGGAGGAGGATATTAATGACGTCATAAGAACGTCACAGCGACGTCATCGATGTATATATTATGGTAGGCAAAGTTCTACGAAGATAATACTTAAGGCAGGATGAATATCTTTACTAAGCTAATATTTCAGGAACTGTAACCAGGAGTTCATGAGAGTGAGTCTATTAGGGAAGTGAGGACAAAGTACACAGAATTTAAACATGTAAGACACACAAGGAAGTGCGGCTGCCACTGCACTAGACTGACTGACTGACTGAATAATAATAATAATACAGTAATAATAATAATAATAATATCGGCATACCTGTTTACATTTGGTATGGTATATATGTATATAGACCACACAGGTATACACCAAGGACTATAAACAGTACATTATCCTTGGGTATACACAATGTACTACACACTCTCCAAAAAGTATCTTTACTATTTTATGTGATACAATATGACGAAACAACGAGACTCGCGGTGCTCATTTTGGATATCATCAGACCCCTCTGTAAAGACACCTACTGAACATACATGCAGATATACAAATTCCAGTGTATACCAAGGTAGTGTGGGGGAAGGGATACAACAATCAAGACAATTTAATAAACTGGAGTCGTCATGTCGTTATATCCTCCCAAATTTTGTTCCATTATGCCATCCTGCTGGGCATACAATATGTACCGAGAGACAGGAGAGATTCCAAAACACTCTAGTGGTAAGTGTTGAGATTGTAATTAAGTTATGTGAAGCGTAAGTGGATTAAATAAGGAGAATTGCTACAGCCATACGGTGTTGTCCCTAATATTCGGTATTGTAGTTTCATTCCCAATTGGGTTATAGCAATTTTGGTTCACTTGAAGTTATATCTCTTCAGTTGCAGCAAATTTTTCTAATACCACTTCCGTTGCAAATAGATAATAACGGAGATGGTAAATTCACTAAGAAATTCCTGTAAATCTGCAGTCACTTTTTTGTTTGTTTACAACTGAGTAGTGTACTATGACGTCCATGAAATAAACTCGTAATATTACACCATGATGCTTCAATAAAGTTGCTTTCATGGCACCAAATATCAAAATAAGTACTTTCTATTTAATGGCGGGGGTCTGTCCCCAGCCAGGAAGTTAGGTAGGTTGGTTAGGTTAAAGTCTATCGGGCAGGGAGTAAACTCAAGAACGACTCATTTTCGACTTTAATGAAGGTCAAATTAGAATGAATCGCACAAAATACCATGGGAAAAACCTAGAGTTCTGGTCAAAAACCAATTGGTAGTGAAACTGCAATTTTACCCTATATTCATGGGCGGGTCCCGCGTCTGCAGTATAATTTAGTTACTTTCGAATAATGTTTGATTAGTGACATCGCTTATCACTGGTATAACCAGTAAAATTATCATAGGGTTGACCTTAAGCATTAGAAACAAACAAAAATAATTCATATATCATTAATCCTGAAAATCTAGGGATGGCCAATGCATAGTTGTCTGTCCTGGCTCAGCCTTAGCAACGTAATTTAAATAGTAAAATAAATACTGCAGGCGGTGGTTCCAACTCCAAACCAATCAACCACGTCTTCAGTGAAGGCTTTCTTTCTAACACTTGGCGGTGAATGATGAGCGTGTATCCCCCGGACGCCTATGTCTATATTTGCTCCATATTATGTCAACCTGCCGGCCATGAGTGCACCCGGAGGGACATGAGAGATTCTATAACATTCCAGCGGTAAGTGTTGAAGTTGTAATTAAGTTATATCAAATAAAAGTGCCAGTATAGTATAGGTACTGCCTTCATGTCTTTCCCAGTTTCCCCAAAGGTATCGTGTGTAATATGCCCGGGCCCACCACTCACAGGTGGAGATAGTTAAAAGTGTATTGTGATGTACCCACAGTAATGTTACATTGTTTTACAAAATAGGTAAATAGGTAGTAATCAAATTGCCAGCCTGGTGTTAGGTTTTTTTTAATTTGTATTTAGCGTAACAATAATTTCATGCAATATAAGGACGTCACCCCTACTTCTCCAACTGAGGCTCAGGAAAAAGTCGTTACCCTGGAGTGTTTCCTCAACAACTGTTTGATTGTTATGTAAAAAAAATGATATTGGCTCTTCTTTTAGGTTTACAAGTATACATGTTCTGAAATATGATCATAGCGTTCTATTGTTTCTACATTTTACATTTCATGGTAAAACTTTATTACAGTTTTTATTTATGCAAAATAATTTCACTTTGAAGCCAAAGTGGAGAATTATAATTGCTTCTTAAAACAACGATGAATACGTTACGTTTTCCTATGAATGTTCGCAACAGTTAAACACTCCAGTGTAGTAAAACATCACTTGATCACAAGTTGTTGTTTGAAAATAAATGAACACATATATATATATATATATATATATATATATATATATATATATATATATATATATATATATATATATAAGTAAAAATAATTTCCTTAACATTAAACTTTAATTATCAGTCAGTCAAGCAGTTGGCGAGAGGATTGCACCTTTAGAGCTAGAAAGCTTTTGTGGATAGACGTACCGTACTGCACATGTTTTATATTTCAGAAAATGCCGTATAAAATATATTGAGAAGTTTCTTGACGGTAACAAAGTGATCGCTGTATACTCTAACGCTGTTACATTTGGTTGGTGTGACCTACGAGGTCTGCTCTTGGAATTTTGGCCGAATACTTTTCTCGTCGTTTCAGGAGCAAGTCCTTGATTTTTCCTTTTTTTTATCCTCTTCACCACTGATCGACTCGTTAGCCGCTTGGGCTGTTGGTCACGTCTCTGTTGGCAAGTATTGAAGGAGCTTGTTGGGTACGGGTTATTTGGTTCACACTCAGGATGGGATGGAGAAAGGAAACTCACAGTGTGCTCTCTGTATACATGTATTGGATTTACAATGCAGCTTGGTCCTGGGAAGTGGCAGCGTGGTTACAAGCGTGATGTAGAGCTGGTCCAGCTTGTGGGTCGCCATGCTCGCCGGCGGGAGCGAGGGCCGCCAGGCAGGGGCGGAGGAGGTGGTGTTACTTGAAGAGTCGGCCTAGACACGAGGTGCGGCTGGATTCGTGGGTCGGCTCGTCAGCGACCAAAGGTGTTTGTAGGGGAGGAATCCACTACAAGCTCTCACTCGGTGCCGTCACAATGAGCAATAACAGCCGGTATACTATAGAAATTTTACTTTTTCCACTTTCTGAACGACTAGAACAGTTGAAAACCCTCACATGACTTCCCCAATACAAACAAAACTCTCATTAGACTGTTCCTCATGTCGTGTTCCTCAACATAGTACCGAGCATTAAATTACGTGATGTGTGACGTCATGTGCAATGGATTCACAGTGCGAGTCAGTGACTATGTAATATTTAAGACTGTAATCTTAAGTGTGTATAAGGTTATGTGTATATAGATTCTTTGAGTGATTGAAACAAGGAGATTGTCTCAAGTTCCAATATATCAAAATAATAGAAAAAAAAAGACTTGCACATCAAGTTATCAAAGCCTCGAGGGTACAAATGGAACAAAACTTATGTAAGTAACTATGGGTATTTGAGGGTGTAAACATCATACCTAACCATATAAACAGGATTTGGGATGGTGTCCAGTCAGGTAATATGGACTTATTTCGATGGGCTTGTCACTGATCACCGTCACAAACATGACTCCAACTTCTCAAAGGTTCTGCTGTACGTTTATTTTTCCTCCTGGCTAGTGATGTCAGAATGCGTGTAACTGATTCACTTCAAGCTGTACAACGTAAGGATAGAGCCTCAAAGGTTCATGTGTTGGTCGAATTACTTTTCTGTTTACCATTGTTTGTATACCCACATAGTTTAGTCTTATTATTATTGGTCAAATTTAACTTATGCAACACTTGTGACTGACCAAATCTAATAATATTGAAAACAAATATCTCGGTTTCTTTTATTTCCTGTGGAAATATCATAGAAGAAAAAGTTTTTATAATTGTCTAAACATTACGAAAAACATATTAATAACAGCGAGAGAAAGACCAGTGCATGACTGAAATTTTACCTTATTATTATTATTTTATTTTTTATTACTATGACTTATTATTATTATTATTATTATTATTATTATTATTATTATTATTATTATTATTATTATTATTATTATTATTATTATTATTATTATTATTATTATTACATTTTCGCCCCCTAGGCCCCGATATGGGTCAGTGACCTGTAAAAAAGAAAAAACTACGTTCTTATTTCATACTAGAGAAGAGGATTTAACGTTCGAATTTTTTATTACGAATACATGTCTTGGCTTCTTGGTGCTACTTTATATGAAGGGTTTTCCTCTTGAAATAATTACAGTATTATCTTATGGCTGGCATATGTCCGTGTTCAGACTATCCGTAATGCTAAAAGAAATTATCTTATTTATCATTTCTTGTTGTCTCCTTAAGCTGTACTTGGTCATCAACAAAGTTTGGTGCCTTTTTTTAATTAGATAGAAAATTATGATATATTTTGGTAAGTCTTTATGAGATTTTAAAGAGTTTGAAGTATATCTTTTCTTAATGAGTCCGTATGGCCGTATCCCCTACAGCGGCTATAGTGAGGGTCGCTTACACACTGATACTCGGAGTACATTCCCGCCATAACTGCCCCAGAGCTGATAGTGCATGCGTAAAAATAATCTTTTATGTAAGTAATTATTTCGGCGAGTATCAACTAATCTCTGACATATTAATTAATTACGTGTTTTTTTACATGATTATTGTAGTTTTTTGTATTTATTTATATAGACTAATGGTGGTGTTTTTTAATCATAAATTTGAGTCGATTTTTATAATATTGGAGTTTTTTCACGAAGCAATCGCGCACATGGTTATAAACAATTAGATATATGTATAAAGAGATATTGCGTTAAACAATGACTTACACAGATTGTCACATTTAAATAAGTTAAAAATGTTAAAACGAAATAAAAAATATCTTGGTTATAAAAAACAATACCCAGAGAAAACTGTATTTAAAACAAAAGTTTATTCTCTCTTGCTTAGAAAATACAGCTGAAATATATCTTAGTGCATATTTGATAAACCGTAATGTATTAAACTGTATCGTAGTTCCACTTAATGATGTTCTGTGTATTGTTTAAGGTGCAAATTCAATAAAATCAAAACAACATACGAAAAGATGACTGTAAATACGGTGTTTATGTCTCTATTAATGTAAAGGTATGTAGTAATGTATTACTGAAAGGCGAAAATAAGTTAAAACACCATCGCAATTAATTATTCGTATTATTAATGTTTTACGAGACAATTTTGTGCTCATGTATGTACTTTGGCGTTTTGTTATTAAAGTTTCATCTCTCCGTACAGCGGTAACGCGCATAACTCACCAATATATCAAGGGTTCGAGCCTCGCCCGGACACACGTGAGAAGGGTGACTCTCACTACCAAACACCACAGGTTTCTCAGTCCCCTGTTTCCTCCTGTACTAACACTGGATAGACCGCCCAAACGGCTAGTAAGTTGATAAGTGGTGAGTATGATATTAAAAAACAAAAAAATATAAACTGCATAACGTTGGCATTGAGTGAAAAACTTGTATCGTCAATATCAATATTTTTATATATTGAAATGACAAAATTTTGACAAAGAACTTCAAATTACATACACAAGTAGAAATATATCGATTATAACATGAAAAATGGTGAAAATTAAAGAGTAACTGTTTTGATGTATTAAACCCAGGTCGTCAAGGTCGTTTTCGCATTTCAGGAGGATAGAGAAGGCGTGAGGGAGGATGGAGAACGAGAGTGAGGGAGACTATAGAATTTCAGACTACATCTATAATTAAAACGTATATCCCGATAAAAAAGAATATAGAAGATTACTAAACATTTTCTGCGCTGATTTAGTTAGTGGAGCTCGTTTTCGTGTTTCAGGATGAGGGGGGGGTAGGGGTGGGCGGTGGGGAGGGGTGGGGGGTTGGGGTAGTCAGGCCGCTGCTGCCCTCTGTCAACACACCAGGGCAGTCAACAATATGGCCTCGAGTGAGTACCTGTGTATACGAAGCTCTCCTTAATTTGTGGTGTCGCGCGTGATTATTAGAGGTGTTAGCACCATGTTTCATATCACATAGGAAATAGAAGAATAGTGTAGTGATAACCAGGGAGCAAGAGCACTGTGGTGGTGATGTGAAGTGGATTTACGGGCTAAAAATGTACTGCTAGCGGCCTGCGAAGGATTCATATCATCTGACTTTGTGGTGAGTATTAATGTTTCTTTGCCTCTTATAGCATGTTATAGACGTATTGGACGTATTTTATAGCATTTTCGAATATTTCTCTCTATATAGGAAGGCTTAGCGTGGTATAAAGAGCGTGACAAGGCAGGTAGAGGCAACACGCTAGACTGTTCCTTGTTGTATAACACCTTAGGACTTCTGTCACTTACCGAACGGGCCCTCTCATTCAGCTACCTCTCGGTGCCTGGTCTGTGGGGCCTCGTGTGTGGGGCATGATGTTTGGGGCCTCGTCTGTGGGGCCTCGTGTGTGGGGCATGATGTTTGGGGCCTTGTCTGTGGGGCCTCGTGTGTGGGATCTCGTGTGTGGGGCATGATGTTTGGGGCCTTGTCTGTGGGGCCTCGTGTGTGGGGCCTTGTCTGTGGGGCCCCTCGTGTGGGGGCCTTGTCTGTGGGGCCTCATGATGTTTGGGGCCTTGTGGGGCATGATGTTTGGGGCCTTGTCTGTGGGGCCTCGTGTGTGGGATCTCGTGTGTGGGGCATGATGTTTGGGGCCTTGTCTGTGGGGCTTCGTCTGCTAGGCTTGGTGTGTGGGGCCTCGTCTGTGGGGCCTGGTCTGTGAGGCCAGGACAGAAATTGGCAGGAAAATGTTGAAACCACACACACCCCTAAATAATTCCTACTATCAAAGCTTCGTAGCAACTGACTAGCTTAACTACATAACAAGTCTCTCTCTCTCTCTCTCTCTCTCTCTCTCTCTCTCGTACAGGTAATGATTTAGCTACCTGTGTGACGTGTCAACTTTTAATATTATTACTTGATTTTAGTGATGGTATTAGTATTATTAATGCTCTTGTTTTTGTTATTATTAATTTACAGTGCTTAGGTAGTGTGTGTGTGTGTGTGTGTGTGTGTGTGTGTGTGTGTGTGTGTGTGTGTGTGTGTTTACGTGGTATCTCAAGAAAATCTATCGTGAGAATGCTTTTGTGACGACGCACTCACACACACACACACACACACACACACACACGCACGCACGCACGCAGATGTCATAGGTCATCATAGCCCCTACCTGACCACTCGCTGTACTTAACCAGTCTCTTTACTGGTGATTACAGTGCACCATATGTGTTACAAGCTACCGTATATAGTATTCTAGCTCCGTATGTGTTAATAGTATAATTGTTGGTAGAGTACCGTATGTGTTAACTGAGCGACGTTAATAGTGTACCGTATGTGTTAACTGATCGGCGTTAATAGTGTACCGTATGTGTTAACTGATTGACATTAATAGTGTACCGTATGTGTTAACTGATTGACGTTAATAGTGTACCGTATGTGTGTTAGCGATTGACGTTAATAGTGTACCGTATGTGTTAACTGATTGACGTTAATAGTGTACCGTATGTGTTAACTGATCATTAATAGTGTACCGTATGTGTTAACTGATTGACGTTAATAGTGTACCATATGTGTTAACTGATGATTGACGTTAATAGTGTACCATATGTTAGTAGTGAACAAAACAACACCTTCCAGCCTATTGCACTTGGTGTTTAACTTTAACGCTATCTGAATTGGGGGGTTAGAGTTGGATTTTATGTTAGTTTTAGGTTAGGTTAGTGTTATGTTAGGTCAGGTTAGGTGGGATTGGGTTGTGTGTGTTAGGTTAGGTCAGGTTGGTGTTAGGTTAGGTCAGGTTAGAAGTTAGGTCAGGTTGAGGTGTTAGGTTAGAGTCGGGTTAGAGTTAGAGTCGGGTGGTGTTAAGGATTGGGTCAGGTTAGAGTTAGGTCAGGTTGGTGTTATGTTAGGTCAGGTTAGAGTTAGGTTAGGTTGAGGTGTTAGGTCAGGTTAGAGTTAGGTTGGTTGGTGCTAGGTTAGGTCAGGTTAGGGATGAGCTAGGTTGAGGTGTTAGATCAGGTCAGGTTAAGGATTAGGCTAGGTTGGTGTTAGGTTAGGTCAGGTTAGAGTTAGGTTAGGTTGATTATTGGGTTAGGTTGAGTTGGAGTTGAGTTGGTGTTTAGGTTAGATTAGTGTCTTTAATCCTCAGGTAGCATTAAGTTGTTTAATCATCAAATTGACTTAATTAAAGGTAGGTGCATAATCTTCAGGTGATTCCAGGTGGATGTGGATCACAATACTCTCCTGTCCTAAAGGTCATTGGTTTCGATCCCCAGAGCACTCACAATTCACCTACAGATGGAAATGGTTAAGGTTAGGTGGGGTTGGTTGGGTAAGGGTTGGTTGGGTTAGGTTAGGATAGGTTATTGTTTAAGTTAGGTTACTGTTGGTTAGGTTAGGATAGGTTATTGGTTAAGTTAGGTTACTGTTGGTTAGGTTAGGATAGGTTATTGGTTAAGTTAGGTTACTGTTGGTTAGGTTAGGGTTGGTTAGGTAAGGTTAGGATAGGCTATTAAGTTGGGTTTCTGTTGGTTAGGTTAGCTTAGGTTACTGTAGGTTAGGTTACTGTTTAAGTTATGTTAGGTTATGTTAGGATAGGTTGGGTGAGGGTAGGGTAGGGTTGGTTAGGTTAGGTCAGGTTACTGTACATTAGAATTAACTCACGGACCATATAATGAATTTAACACTGTCGTAGTTAATATGTTCCAGGTTAAATACGCTCTTAACATCTATAATTATGGGTAAATTTTTTTAACTTACTGTGAATTTAACGTCGTGTCGTAGTTTACAGTAAAGGCGTGAGTTAATTTAACATCGTGTCGTAGGAGTGAGTTAATATCCTTTCCTTCAGTTATAGAGAAAAAAATTAACTTAGGTAAGAATCTCCACTAAAACTCTTAACGACGCCGTAACTTACTGAGGTAGTTAGACTCTGAGGTAGTTAGACTCGTTACGTCATTCCGGTAACTCGTTAAAGGTGAAAATTAACTTTAGAGATTGTTAAGGTTTTTTGGTGATAAAGTTTGTAGTAGTGGGGGGAAGGAGAGGGGAGAGGGAATTGGGTGGGGGAGTGAGGAGGTGGGTGGGTGGGGGGGGTGAGGGAGGTGGGTGGGTGGGGGGGGAATGAGAGGGGAGAGGGAGGGTGGGTGGGGGGTGAGGGTGGAGTGGGTGGGGGGGAGTGAAGTGTGGGTGGGTGGGTGGGGGGAAGTGGGGAGGGTTGGTGGGTGGGGGAAGTGAGGGAGGGGGTAGGAGGGGGGGTAATGAAGGAAGTATCTCACCTCTCACCTGGAATCTGACCTCAAAAGTGTGGTGAATTCCTTTTAATTACTCCATGCAATTTAATTAACGCTTGGAGTGGGAAGAAGAAGAAGAAGAAGAAGAAGAAGAAGAAGAAGAATATATATGTATAAAAAGGATGAACCTATGATCAACACACACACACGTTCGTTAACCTAACCTAACCTAACCTACACACTTAAAAATGTATAATGACGTGTACACAAAAACACCTACATGAGTATAATTACGTACACAACTATACCTACATGAGTATAATTACGTACACAACTATACCTACATGAGTATAATTACGTACACAACTATACCTACATGAGTATAATGTCGTGTACACAATAACATTTACACATGTACACCGTATCATAGGAGTCAGGTGTGTGTGTGTGTGTGTGTGTGTGTGTGTGTGTGTGTGTGTGTGTGTGTGTGTGTGTGTTCGTTCACCTGACGATTAAACACACCTAATCCTTTCTTTGCTTGGTGATGAGGTTAGGTTAGGTTAGAGTCAACTAGGTTAGCGCTAGGTTAGGTTAGAGTCAACTAGGTTAGCGCTAGGTTAGGTTAGGTTAGGCTAGGTTAGGTTAGGTTCGCCGATGCATTATTCTATCCTCAAATGCTTCGAATTCACGAGTCCGAATCCCGGGGTTCGGGGTTCAGGATGAGAGGTGAACTGGACTGGACTCAAAACACACGTAAATATAGTTATACCGGGATCACTAACACACCTTATAATTCACGGTATATACAGTGTGTTCCGTATATACCTTTCATAAATCAGTGGGTATATTCCTGAGACATAAATAAAGATAAATTACTAAATGAAAGGTATGTACGGAACACCAATTATAATGTAATAGGTCTGGTATATGGGTGTGGTGGTCAGGATGTACTCAACTAACAATGTACTCCACGTCAGAATGTACTACTCCGACCACCCATGTACAGTACACCACCACCACACTCAGTACATGTATAAAATATAATTAAGTATCACAGGTGTAAATAATTCACCTGATTTAACCTTTGACCTGTCTGAAGAGGGGAGGGGGGGGACAGGTGACAATGGGATGGTGTTTCCGGGGGGTGGAAGGTAGGAAGAGAGTCGAGGAGAAAGAGAGGGAGAGAAAGAGAGAGAGGGAGGTGGAAGGTAGAAAGAGAGTCGAGGAGAAAGAGAGGGAGAGAAAGAGAGAGAGGGAGGTGGAAGGTAGAAAGAGAGTCGAGGAGAAAGAGAGGGAGAGAAAGAGAGAGAGGGAATTTGTGATGAGTTTGCTGAGACTATTGAAAGGGTGACGATTAGTGTTTAATTGTTTACAAGAAGGAGGAGGAGAGGTAGAAGAAGGAGGAGGAGGAAGGGGAAGAAGAGGAGGAGGAGGAGGTAGAAGAGGAGGGAAAAGAAGGAAGAGGAAAAGGAGAGAGGAGAGGAAGGAGGAGGAGGAGGAGGGTCTGAAGATGTGAGAACGTATCTTAATTGGAACCAGAATTTAGCACAGGTACATGGAGAGGGCCAGGATTACAGCACAGGTACATGGGAGGGCCGGGGTACAGCACAGGTACATGAGGAGGGCCGGGGTGCAACAGGGTACATGAGAGGGCCGGGGTACAGCACAGGTACATGGGGCCAGGGGTGCAGCACAGGTGCATGGGAGGGCCGGGGTGCAGCACAGGTACATGGGAGAGACCCGGTACAGCACAGGTACATGGGAGGGCCGGGTGCAGCACAGGTACATGGGGAGGGCCGGGGTGCAGGACAGGTGTGGGAGGGCCGGGGTGCAGCACAGGTACATGGGGAGGGCCAGGGGTGCAGCACAGGTACATGAGAGGGGCCGGGG